GTGGTTGTTGTGCTGTTGTGTGGCTGGTCCCCCTCCGTCCCTGCAGCCTACATCCACTCCAACCAGATCATGGGCTGGGGAGAGAAGGCCATCGAGATCCGCTCCGTGGAGACGGGACACCTCGACGGAGTTTTCATGCACAAGCGAGCACAGCGACTGAAGTTTCTGTCGGAGAGAAATGACAAGGTGAGTCTGAGCGCACCTGAACGAAGCAAAGCACACCTGAACATTCCTGAACACACTAGAACACATTTGAAGACTCCAGAACTCACCAGAACAAACCAGAACTAGACCTATCTGACTCCACCAGGGCCTGTAGCAGACATGTGGACCAGATCATGTTGAACGCTAACAGCACCAAACCTTCCATTTACATCCATTAGTTCCTTCATGCTGACCACCAGACCCAGAGCTGGTCCTGAGTCGTGACCATCTGGACCCTGTGGTTCCTCCTCAGATGAACCTGCTGAGCAGCAGATCTTATTCTTCAGTGTGAGTGATGACCTGAGTGTGTGCTGACCTGAAGCTCTGTGCTGCTGTCGCTGCAGGTTTTCTTCGCCTCGGTTCGCTCCGGAGGCAGCAGCCAAGTCTTCTTCATGACCCTGAACCGAAGCTCCATGATGAACTGGTAACCCTGGACCTCCTCCTCCTCCTCCTCACCCCCAACATGTGGACGGCTGGAGGACCGTGTGTGTGTGTCTGTGTCTTTATGTGTGTTTGTGGAGGACAACAACAACAACAACGAGCTGCTGCTGCTGCTGAACATCTGGAGGACACCTCCAGAGACTCCACGCCTTCCTCCGCCTTCCTCCCGCCGGACCGAGCCGGTGTCTGGGGGACGGGCCGAGCAGCTTCCACCTCCACGTTTGAGCTCCTGGTGTAGCACCTCGCTGACCCTCTGGCCGGCGTTCACACTGCGAGCAGCTCGGAGGCTCGTCGCGGCGAGACGACGTAGCATTAGCCAGGAACAACACTTGAATCAAACTTTAAGGTGCGACGGGTTTGGAGGACGTTCAGATGTGAGCCGCTGCAGATCCACACCGAGCCTGAAAATCAGTCTGATCGCCGTCAGGCTGAGTTCAGGCTGCAGAAGGTGACAATCGTTAGAGGAAAGTAGAGAAACACAACCTGCAGGACTGCAGTGAACCAAAAACCAACCGGTGTGCACGTCAGACGTAGGAAGGAGCCGGTGTTCACAGCAGATTAAATCAGGTTAACCTGGTTCTGGATTTACCTCCAGCTCACTTTAAAACTTAGCGCTTTACAATCTGTCATTAACGAGGCCCGCTTTGTTGTGCACCGTTTTCAAGAAGCAGATCGCGACTTTATCTGAAACGTGGCGACGGCAAACTTCTAAAGATTTTCGTAGAACTAATCGTGGAAATGATCTAAAGTTTCTAACGTTCCTCTGAGAGACGAGTGTTGGACTCAGATCACGAATCAGACGAGAACCACTGGATCATTTATGTGTACGTTTTAAAAAACGACACAAGTTTCTGTTCTTCAGTTCAAAACCGAAAAAGAAAAAAAAAAATCTAAACAGTCTCCTTTGACATTTTAACCAACGTGGACAAAAACAACCCTGGAAACTGGAAACAGGCTCCGTTTGTGTTTTTTCATGTGAACCAACAATGAAAAAACTAAAATAAAATTAATTACCGTTTTCATTTTTCTGTTTTAAACTAACAATTACAAATAAAAACAGAAAATGGGCTTTTTTTGTTTTTCTGTTTTAAACCAACAATGAAAAGTAACAGAAAAGGGACTCTTTTTTTCATTTTTCATTTTTAAACCTACAACGAGGAAAATACAGAAAATGAGCCGATTTTTTGCTTTTCTATTTTGAACCAAGAACAAAAGAAAGAGGAAAAAAAAAAGCAACAGATAACAGGCAGATTTTTTGTTTTTCTGTTTTAAACCAACAGTGAGTTAAAAACAAAACAGAAAATAGACACATTGTCATGTTTCCCTTTTAAACCAACAATTATATATATATATTTTTTTTTTTTATTATTATTTTACATTTTTTTTAAACAGAAAAATTTGCTCATGTTTTGTTCTACAAATACAAAAAATAGAAAATGGACTCATTTTTAATTTTTCAGTTCTAAACCTACAATTAAGAAAATACAGAAAATTGGCCCATTTTTGTTTTTCTGTTTTAAACCAAATCAAACACACAAATTATACAATCAATCAAAAAAAAACAGCTCATTTTTTTGTTATTTGTTTTAAATGAAGTACATTTTTTTAAAAAACAGGAAATTGACTCATTTTTCATTTTTCTGTTTCCCACATACAATGAAATAAAACAAATAGATTTTTCTCTTTAAAACCAAAAATGTAAAAAAAAACAAAAAACAGAAAACTGACATATTTTTCATTCGTGTGTTTTTATCTGTTTATTTTTTTTAATTACTAAATTTTGGGGGGTTTGGCCATGGCAGGAGAAACAGTTTTTATGTTTTGGGCTTTAAAGCTAAGAACAAAACTCCAATTGATTTTGAATCTGAACTGAATCAGTGATGCTCCGACCTGGACTGACTTTCATCAGCGTGTTGATTCTGAGGCGGTTTTGAATCAAGAACAGAACATAGTTCAGGTATTCGATGGTCCTGACGTCCAGGCCTCGACGCTGCTCGCCGTCGACACTCAACAATCGGTCGCCTGCTCCCGGCCGGACGTTTTCTAGACTGATGTAGCAAAAACTCGAGGACGACTTCTTGGTTCGGCTCGCAGTGTGAACGCTCGACTCTGCTGCTGCTGCTGCCGCTCAAACTGTCGAGAGGAAAACATGAGAACGAAGCAGCCGGAACTTGAACCCACGTGGCGGCCGCGGTGCTTCTTCTGCAGCCGAGGGGAGCTTGTAGATATGGAAGCAGGAGAGCGTAGACTAGAGCGGTCCCTCCTCTCCACGCCGTTCTCTGTGCACCTGTAAATACTCACTTTGATGTTACGGACAGGTGAGGACGCAGAAGAAAAAAAACCAACAACGCTTTTTCTTTTCTGTTTTCTTTCTTTTCTGTTGGGTTTCTCCTCATCGCCGTTGATTCTTTTACCTGCATGTTTGACCCGTCGTCACCTGTTCTGTACATTTGAGGCAATACGCTGGAGGGTCCGCCCAGAACCCCGACGCTTCTTTCTTCTCACAACACTGAGCTGTAAAGTGAAAACGTTCTTCTGTGGAGGTCGTCCACCGGAGAGCCACACATTCACCTTTAACGTTCCTTTAGGCTGACGCACACCGACAGTAGCTCCGCGACCGGCGTCTGAATCATCTTTTACTTGATCTTGTTTTGTGCGGTGGCAGGCGAAGGCGCTTTAAGGCCAGCTGAAGCCTTTGACATGTGCAGGATGATCGACACCCTGTGAATAAAGGTCAGGAGGCAGAACCCATAGAGCAGAAGATATATATAAATATATATATATATACTGTAAGAACTTTCATTACTCTGATGATATCGATCATTTTAGAGAAAGACGAAAAGAAAAAACAAACGACGTCCACTTACTAAAGCTTAGCGGTCTTTCTACAGAATAGAGAACATAGCTATAAGAGTTTCTAAAAAAAAAAGGAAAAAAAACGACAATGTTTTTATCGTGGTATTATTTGTATTTGTATTTCAATTTTTGTACGTATCAAGAACTGTGAACGTGTGCGTGAGTGTGTGTCGGAGTGCGTAGCCGAGCAGGTGTGTGTGCGCGCGGCCGTGCGACGTGCATGTGAGTGTATGTGTTCACCTCGTCTGAATCACTGGAAAAGACAACCTGGAGCCTGGTAACACACATCTGTGATGTTGGCAATTCTACAATAAATGTCCTCTCCTTGTACAGCAGCTCCACCCGCTCCAGCGTCTTTATTCACACCTGATTCACACCAAAACGCTGACTGAAAACTGGCCACAAGGACTGTAAAATAGTCCAAAATATCATTCAAAGTGACTCTAACCTGCCTAAGAAATGACTTTAACCACTGGAAATCCTCCAGAATAGCTCAATATTATAACTATATTATATGTTCTATTGACATCATCCATCCATCCATTATCTATACACCGCTAATCCGCATTAGGGTCGCGGGGGGGCTGGAGTCTATCCCAGCTGACTCAGGGTGAAGGCAGGTTCACCTGGACAGGTAACCAGTCTATCACAGGGCTACACTTAGAGACAGACAACCAAGCACAGTCACATTCACACCTACGGAGGAAGCTGGAGAACCCGGAGAGAACCCACGCTGCACGGGGAGAACATGGAGACTCCACGCAGAAAGATTCCGGTGCCCCCACCGGGACGCCAACCGGCGACCTTCTTGCCGCGAGGCAGCAGTGCTACCAACTGCGCCACCCTGCAGCCCTCTATTAACATTATCCATCCAGAATTTCAAAATGTCCACAAGGACTCAAACCGGTCTAAAATGATTTGAAAATTGTCCAGAAATTGTTCAAAATGGCTCTAAAATAGTCCAACATTCGTTCAAATTTCACAAATTTTATTTAACTTGTCCAGAGTTAGTTAACAGTTGACCAAAAAGTGTTTAAAGTTTGTCTATAAGAAGTCACAATTTGTCCTAAAGACCTCCAAACATTGTACAGAATGATTAAAGTTGTCCATAATTAGTTAAAATTAGTCTGAAATAAGTTCAGAATAGCTACAAACTGTCCAAAATTAGTTTCAAGCATCAAAAGTTCGTCCAGACCTACTTGAAACTTGTTCAAAATGACTTGAAAACTGTTCAGAAGGACCTAAAACGTGTCCAAAGGCAGTTAAAATTAGTTTAGAATGACCTGAAACATTTTGAAACTTTCCACAGTTAGTTTCAAAATGTCTAAAAGGACCTGAAACGTGTCCAAGGTGACTCTACAACTGTTCAACTTGGAATTTATCCAGATGGTTAGATTAGTCCAAAATGGTCCAGAAATGGCCCAAAATGAGTTGAAACTTTGCCAAAATGTGGTTTTAAAATGTTAAAAGGACTCAAACATTGTCCGTTCTGACTTTAAACTGGTCTGAAATAACCAGAAACATGTCAAGAGTTGAATTTACTCAGCATTAGTGTCAAATGTCACAAGAAGTGTCCCAAATGACTTTAGACGTGTCCAGAATGAGCTAAAAATGGACCAACCAGAAAATGTTGACGCTGATTCAGAGCAACTAAACCCACTGATAACGCTTAAATGTGTGTGTTTCTGAGAATGTCATTGGAGGAGGAGGAACTGTTGACTGACAGAAGAAACTGCTGCAAAGGTTTGGAGCAAAGACTCGATCTCCCAGCAGCCCCTGCAGCGGAGCGTTCATCAACTCTGAAGGTAAAGACGGATGTGACGGACGTGGATGTGAACTCAGACGTGTTTGTGGGTCATCAGTGTTTGATTCACGTTCAGCTTCTCAAATACTGCAGGAATGAAACCGACCAGGAAGAACTGTGGAAACAACAACGAACAAACTGGTCTAATGAGTTCCCTGAGGTACCCGACCGAAGGGATCAATAAAGTTCTATCTAGTCTATCTATAAGGACTTGAACAATTCAGAATTGTCCAAAAAAACTCAAATATTGTCCCAGATTAGTTCAACATCGTCCCAAACGACTCGAATGTTGCTTAAAACATATTAAAACTGTCCAAAATCAGATGGAAAATACCAGAAGGACTTAAATATAGTTCGAAATTAGTCATTTAAAAGGATGCTTTAAAAAAATTGTCTAAAATTAATTACAAATTATTCAGACAGATTAAAAATTGACCAAAATGACTTTAAACCTGCAGAATTTGTTAAAAACGTCCAAATGACATGATCGAAAATGACTTTAAAACTGTTGAAAAGAAATCAAAAAGTTATTTATATGATATTAAACGAGTTTTTTTAAATATATGAATTAGGTAATAATGTATTAAAATGAGTTAAAAGTGTCCAATATGAGTACAACTTGTTTAAACTGAGTGAAAATTTGTCCAAATGACTTCAAACCTGTCCAGAATTTGTTAAAAACATCCAAATGACTTTAAAACTGTCAAAAAGGAAACAAAAGGGTATTTGTATTGTCTAAAGTGGGTTTTAAAAATATAAATAAATGAGGTAATAGTGTATGAAAATTAGCTAAAACGTGTCAGAGTGAAAATTTGTCCAAAATGACTCAAAATATGTCAAAACAATAGTCAAAAATGACTTTAAACTTGTCCGGAAAGTTTTTTTTTTTTTAAATGGTTCAAAATTAGTGGATATTTTTTTAATGTCCACAATTACTCTAAACTTGTTCCGATAGTTTATCTTGTCCAAAACTACTCAAATATTGTCCAAAATCAGTTCAACTGTTTTTAAAATGCCAAAAGACGGAAACTAAAGCCTGGACGGACACAGTGTGTGATGTATTTATTAGGTGCCGGGTTGCCATGTCTGTTTCCAACCTGGCATCCCTTGTGGAGTCTGTGTGACCGTCCTGGGTTGCCATGTCTGCCTCGGACCTGGCAACCCTTTCTGCCCCGCTGCCCCCGGAACACAACGCCCCCCTCCCTCCCTCCCTGCTTCCTCTACAGTGCTGCAGTAAAGTTGGCCGCGCCTGCGCACTCTCGGTCCTCTTTTTCTTGGAAGGTAAGTGTGGCATGGCGCGTGTTTCTGCCTCGGGGGGATAAACGGAGGACTTTATCGGTTTTTAAGTGCGCCGATAGCGGATTCAGAGGTACTAAAGTAGCCGTGTGTCGGTTTGACAAGCCGGGGAAGTAGTTGTGTAGTTCCCCGGTGGATGTACTCGGCGGCAGGGCAGGGTGTGGGTGTCCATGTTCGAAGTACCAGGCTCAATCAAAGGGACATGCGGCCTTCGGCGGCGCGGTCGGTGGAAGTCGCTTGTCATCCTCCGCGCTAACGTCGCTGCGCGGTACAAATCGGCTCCGCATTTGTCAGCCGACGGCTCCATGCGGACGATCGGAGCGAAATAACGGTCCGTCCGCCGGCCGCTGTCGACCGAGCGTCAATCTTTTCATTTGGACGGAGCTGAATGGACGGCTAACGGTTAGCCGCCGCTAGCATCGCATTAGCAGTCGCATAACGGTATTTGTGGAGCGGCGGCAGCCTGAGTTGGCCCCTCGGAACCCCCCACGGCACCGTAACACCACTCAAAGTGAGCTGACGAACTGTTTTTACACCGAAACCTCGGCGCTAACTTGAGCTAATGTTAGCCCGCGTCGCGTTATTGCTCAGTTGTTCCGTGATGTGCTGCACTTGTAGACCGGAGGCCGGCTAACGAGTTCCAGCTAATGTGTTGGAAATTAGCCCGTTAATCCGCACCGGGGGCTCGCTCGCCTCGCCGCTTCTTTAACGATTATAATTCGATTTGTGTTGATGTTTGTCAACGGATTAGAGATGTTTGATTTTAAAAAATAATAATAATTTTAAAATAATTTTGAAGCAGCGAGGAGCGGACGCGGTGTGTCGCAGCCGCCCGGCCTCGTGTCGGGTCGGTCCGAGCCTCCACGTTCCGGTGCCGCTGCAGGTTTCTATTTATTATTCAGCCCGCTGTGGTGCCAGAAGGTGGTCGTCTGCCAGAAACTCGCTGCGCTGCTCCGACGCCCAGTTTATTGACCGGTTAAATGTGGGTCAAGCAGCCGTAAACAGCGCGTCCTCATGTGTCTGAGGCTCCACCTGATCTGTGACCTGGATCACGACCGGTCCGGCTGCGCCAACCTGTTGAAGCGGCTTCAGACGACCGAATAGTTCTCTTTAGATCAGCCAGAAGGTGACTGAGCTGCTCGTTACTGGGTATATGTGACCATAAACCCCTGATGTGTCGCTCAGCCCAGGTTACAGGTGCGTTCACGTGTCGGAGCAGCTTTAAAACTTCAACATGTGTTGATGTGACATCAGGTGTCGCTCATCTTCACACCACCATCCTCACTGATCCTGGTAAAACCTCAGGCCGTGTTTCACCAGCTGTGCCTCTGGGATGGGCGTCGTTTACTGCTGCTTTAACCGATACTGCTTATCTGTAGCGGACTTACTGATTGTTTGTTTTAGTTTTAAAGAGAGAAAAACAACAGCAAAATACTGAAGTGTTGATGGGATGATCAGAACTCCACCTGGAGGAGCAGACATCAGCCAACCATCAGTACATTGTGCTGATTCAGATTATGAAGTGAATGCAGGACTTTGTATTATTCCTGTGATGATATGAATAAAAGTACTTCTACTGACGGCAGCGTTCAGTCAAACTGTGACGTTAAAGTCTCTTCATCTGCAGCCCTACAATCCCTGAACCTCGCTGCTCTGAAGTGAGACTACAATTCTGATCCAGACCTGTTTTATGATCACAGCGACGGTTAAACAGTGAGATAAACTTTGCATTTCATTGTATGTACGCGTGCTTTTTACTTGAGAACACGTTCTGCATCAGCTGTAGAGAATTAAATCAGATTCCTGGACGGTCGTCGCCTCTGAACTCACCAGAAATCGGACACATCAGCAGCACAACGACCTTCTTACTTTCTAAAACAGACCCGTTAACATCGAAGCTTGTCGCTCGTATTTGCATCTGTTGCTGAAGTAATTATGCAAATGCAGCGTGCAGAGATCTCTAGGAACTACATGGATTTGATTGTCTCCTACATGCTAAAGACATTTTTTCACGTGGAAAGGACTCATTTCCTCCTTAAATGCAATGATAATCTGATTTATTTGGCATTAAATTCAATCTCTTTGGGGTTAAGGTAAAACTAAACGTGGACGACTTTTCCAATACCCGGATAGCTCATCGGATAATCGCAAAAGAAATGATTTTATGCCTAAAACGCGTCCATAAATCCTGTTAACTACGCGGTCGGTGTAGACTCTGTGGCCCAGGTCAGGGTAAGTGAGATAAGAGGTGAAATATCTAAAAAAGTAGAAGCTGTCCGGATTCATTACGGCCCAGTTTCCAAATATAAACGAGTAGGAGACACGTACTGCAGCACAGCCGAGACTGTAAACGTCTGAGGAGAAGCTTTACTAACTCACCTGAAACGTTAAAGTCAAACCTTTAATATTTGCGTTTTATGGCTGTTTGACCCAAATAAAAGCTGCTGGACACGTTTTTATAAACTCGGTTTTTGGCAGATGATCGAGTTTTGACACAAACTGAATTCTTCAAATCGATCACGAGAACTAAACTTCATCTGAGCGTCTCTAGATTCTAAAACTTTGGGACTCTGTAAAAAGAAGAAAAGTCGGGATCAGAACCGTTAAACGGTTTTAACTAACGAGAATTTATCAGATTTTTAAAAGTAGATTTCTGTTTTTGTGGAGCTACTCGATGCTGAAGTTCACATGAACAAAACTTGACCCCAAAAAAGCGATAAAATGAGGATTTTTGGGTCGATGGAAGTTTTGAAAATGCGTCCGTTGCAAAACCGTTTTCGTTGTTTGTGTCGAGGGTTTAATTGATCGGTTGTTTGTCAGAACCCAGGATGACAAACGTCTTCTGTCCTCAACCCAAAAACAGAATCAGTTTTCCATCGTAGAGGGAGATGAACCCAAAAATAGTAACTTTTAATTAGCTGGAATCAGAGAATTTGACTTTTTTTAAATCAAAAAACTACTCAAATGAATAAAGTAGTCAATTAATAGTTGATAACTAATCGATTAATTACTAGTTGCAGCTCTAAACAGAACAACGTCTTGAGTTTATTTTATGGTCACTAATGTCCATTAAAATGCCAAAAACTAGATCGTATCTGCAGAATTCAATCATGATGATTATTTTTGATCTAAACTGCGACACGAGCCATGATTTCAGTGGGAGTGGACGTTCTCTGTGTGACTTTTCCAACAGAAAAAACATGAAAATAATCAGATTTTTGCTGCTTTAGCACCAAACGAGCCGGTCGTCGTTACATCAGGAGTGTCTGGAGCACGTTTCACTGTTTGTTCAAGTGTCACTTCTGTGATTTGGATTTTGTTCTGCCTTACGTAGCTCAGATATAGTTTATGCTCAGCAGCAGGTTTGTGGTTTTTAGCAAATCCAGATCTAGTGGGACCAGATCTACAGATGTGGTTTTGGTGCAGCTTGTCAAACATCTGGCAGCAGCTCGGTTGATCAGTGCCCGTGTGTCTCTGCAGCGCCCCTGACCCATCGCACCATGGCAGATCCCGATCTTGACTTCCAGACTGGCGAGTCTGGCGCCTCCGCCACCTACCCCATGCAGTGCTCCGCCCTGCGTAAGAACGGCTACGTGGTGCTGAAGGGACGTCCCTGCAAAATCGTGGAGATGTCCACTTCCAAGACCGGCAAGCACGGACATGCCAAGGTAAGAGTGGTCGTCCGATCCGTCCTCTCAGACCGTAAGGTGGCGACGCAGAGTTTTATTCACGGGGCTGCTCAGACCTGATGTCCTCTGGCAGAGATGTGGAGCTCAGGTTTCACAGCCGCCTGAAGAGCTGCTGCAGTCTTATCTGTTTCTTTAAACAACACGCGTACTTTGCCCTCATGTGGGACTTGGTCACAGTAAATGGGGAGAAAATGAAGATAAAGGTCTGTTTCAGAGTCGTCAGCACTTATTTAGTGGTTAAAATCCAGTTATTTTTCTGTTAGAGTCCCGCTGCACCTGCTTCCTGGACATGTCCACAGCTTCACTGACGCTCATCTGTTCAGTCTGTGGATGTGAATAAACCTCCAACACAGTTTGATGAAGCTGACACTCGGTTTTAACAAGTCCTTGGAGCTAAACGTGGTGGATTTGTTTGTATTTCTTGCCATCAGCTGCTTGTGATGACCTCCTGTGTGTTTCCCTGCAGGTTAACCTGGTTGGTATCGATATCTTCACCAACAAGAAGTATGAAGATATGTGCCCCTCCACCCACAACATGGATGTTCCCTCCATCAAGAGGATAGACTATCAGGTACGTAGACGTCTCCTCTGCTGCTGCTGCAGGCCGGACTCGTTCGTAACTCGGTTAGAGGCGACATGTGACCTCCGTCATGTGCCGCTCTTTGTGATCTCGTGTTTAGAAGTCGAGCTGGTTGGAAATGGAAATAGTGACACATGTTTGTTTCCAGTTATTGCCTCAAATAGTGACTCATGGTGGCTGAAAATATTCGTGGATTTGGTTTAGTCATGAGCAGTTCCTCAGAGGGCTGACGTGAAGATCTGTGGAGGTGAAACAAGCTGCTCCGCCGCCGTTAGTGCTCCACCTGACGATAGCTGGATTCATTTCTGTGCTCCAGAAAAGGCCTCATCACATTATCCACAAGTTAAAGATGCTAACTTACCTGAAGTAAACCACATTTTTTATTGTTAAAAATGCCAAATCACACGAGCAGTAGCGTTCTGTTTCCTCTCTGGTCAACTGAGTTTCACTAAAACCAGAAAAAAAACTCAGAACGGCGACACTTTGTTGTTTTTCCCCTTTTTGAGTTACCAGGCGATGAAACAGTCGCTTAGTCGTTAATCACCGCAGCTCAGACCTCCAGCTAATATTTGTGTTTGTATGAAGAGTGACAGAAACATGCAGCTTGAATGTAAATCACAAATAAACGTATTCACAGGTGTAACATCCCGACACAGCGGTCAGGAGATTGTGTGATTGACTTCACAGTGTGACCCCTCCAGAAGATAAATCATCGTATAAAAGAGCTAGAGCAGAATCAAGTCATCGTAACGGCAGCATCAAGTCAGATTTTTGTAGTTTTTGCTTTTAAAAGAACAACTTTAACCTCTTATCTGGTGTTTTCTGGCTGCTGCGTCGGCGCCTGCTGCGTTTTTTCTCACGTCGGGTTCTTGGCCAGGCTCCTTAAATAACCGCCGACGTCACGCCCGGCTCAGACGGTCGGCTTTGATCGACTCGTAGCGCCCGTTTCTGAACGGCTGTACACAAAAGAAGATAAACAGCAAACGAGGGCGAAGACGCAGCACGAGTCTGGAGGTGACTAGTCCATCCGCTCAACAGCAGATAACATGAGGAGGAAACCACCAGCGACACTCTGGGCTTTTCTAAACGGTTTATCTGGTTAACTCGGTGGCGTCGGAGTCCAGATTCATGAGCTTTCCTTTCAGCTCGTGTGTTTTCTTTTCACCTTTCACCAGCTGTGAGGCGTTCCTTCACTAATAGCCTGAGATTTAGGAAACAACCAGCTGATCTCTACCTCAAACATACAGATGAAGGCTTTAAGTCGAGTTGAACTGAGTGTTTGTTTCTCTGTTGTTTTTGGAGCATCACGGTGGTTTAGTCGTGAACGTCGACGTGTGATTTTTTCTGTTTCCTCCTGCAGCTGGTTAACATCAACGAAAACTACATGTCCTTGATGAGCGACAACGGAGACATCAGAGAGGACCTCCGCGTCCCCGAGAACGACATCGGCAAGGAGATCGAGGCAAAGTTCGAGGCGGGCGACGAGTTCATGGTGAGTTGTGCCTCCGCGGCGGCAGGAAGTCGATGAAATTGCACATTTTTTTTTGAGGCTGCAGACGGACGACAGCGTCCTGATTTAGCGCGGCAGAATGCGGAGAGCGCCGGCCGCACGTGTTGAATTTCAGATGATTGACTCGAACACGTTGTGCCGCCCGCAGGTCACCGTGATTTCTGCCATGGGGGAGGAATGTGCCGTCGCCACCAAGGTCTTGGCCAACAAATAGGAGATGGACTTTGCTGCCCAGGCAACAAGCACCACCCACAACCAGTCTCTTGCATTCTCATTGGTTCTGTCACCAAAGCGTCGGCCTTCACAGACAACCTCAAATCATTCTGTTGTGATTTCTCTCATCATTGATCTTTTATTTTATTTTATTTGACCCCCCTTTTGGTTTCTCTTTTCCATTGCTGTTGGGAATGTTCCACCGCGGCTCGCTGCGTGGTTCTCTGCCTGATCACTGAGGTTCTGTTTGGTAACAATCTACTTTATATAAAAACGACTTCAAAAAATAACCGTCGGTTGCTCATTCCTGCTTATTTTTGCCTTCAACGTGTTGGTTTCGCCACTCACATTCCTGAATGTTGAAATAACACCGGGATTCAGCTTTTGTATGATTATTTTTTTATATTCTTTAGATTGAATATAGCAGGTCTAAAGCCTTTTAGAGGGGAGGGTAGGGGGCAGTTTTTGAGTTGTTCAAGCAGCGGGAGGGAGGGTTTATCCCCTGCAGATACTGAATTCTGGTTTAGGTCGTCCCTCTAGCAGCCATACAGCTTTCCAGCATGGCCTTTCCTCTGGTTCCCGAGTGGATTTGGTGCGACGAGGTCCCTTTTATTTCCTCCTAACCGCTGGGATTGGTGGCGGCGGCGGCTAGCACTTAGGAGCACGTGAGGGCCACCCCAGCATGTCGAAGCTCTAAAACCCAAGAAAAGAGAAACTTTTTTTCCCCTCCCCTCTTTTTTTTCTCCCCCCCACTTTCAAGAAGAACAGAAACAACCGTCAGTGATTTTACCCTCGTGATGCCAGTCTCTTGTCTGTAGAAGTTGGAGGGGCGTCGAGGGTCCTCTCGCCCCGCTGGACGCCCCGGCCATCATCCCCCAAAACTAAAGGAGAGTTCTTGTTTCGTTTTTGAGAGAGTGTGTAGCGGTGTGGGGCCTCCGAAATGTGGGAGGCGGTTTGCAGTGAGGTGTGTGTTTCTTTTTCGAGGGACTCGATCGGGTTGGGGAGGGTGGTAGAGTTGCAAACTTTTTTGTTCACTCGAGGCCTTTGTCACCTGACTGGAGATGGCAAAATAAAACGATGAAACAAATGGACAAAAATTGCAAACGATGTCTGGTTTTCTGTCTCTGAACGGCGCCTTTAGGATGTAGGACGTCCAGAGGTTGTCTAACAACTACAGACGGGTTTAAAGCAGGATGACGGTGAATTATTACCACCGCTTGTTTGCAAACTTCATGAAATACTTCAATAATTTGGAAGAAAAAACATTCTAAAGTGGTCGTTAATCAAATCTGCAGAAAGTGTCTTCAGACTTTTACAAGCTACAAATAAAAAGGAAGCATTTCAGATCAGGAAAGTTTATTTCTCCCCTTTAAAATTACCGTCTGTCAAGGATACGGGCGACTGCTGAAGCCTTTTCTTCTTTTTACTCAACACGAGGTCTCCTTTCTGCATTTCTGCTCATTTTCCAGGTTTTGTTTTTGCAGGTTAACTTTAATTCCAGTGGCTGAAAACACTCTTATCCACAGCAGCAATACACGAAAATAAGCCTCCGTGTTTAGAACTCGTACATCCGTCCCAGAAAACACTTTTTATTCTGTGTTCTTGGACACAATCCCTCCAACGAGCAGGTTTTCTTCTTCTCTTCAGCAGGTGTCGTTGAAGGTCTGAACATGAGCAAAAACACGTCAGAGCTCTGAAATAAAACACGTTTATTGATGTAACAAGGTGTTAAAAGTGAAACTTCCTGCGTTACGTTGTTGAGTTTGGTGTTTAAATGTATTTACAACACAAATTAGTGCAAAAAAAATCTATGAAAACGCAGCAAATTCAGTGTTTCGGTTCGACTTTCTCACTTAAAAGCTGATAAAAAAAACAAGAGCTCCCAACGAGGGAAACGAGCACGAGGAGGAAACCATTCGATAGAACTAAACATGAAGAAATCTGCTTTTGTCGTCACTCAGCCCTCGTAAATGACATCTGAAGACCTGTGGTGCTCGTTTAATGTGGTTTAAGAAGCTGCTCGAGCTTCGTTGGGATGCGATCACATTTCCACCTGTCGCACAGTTTTAGTGTTTAACTGAGACAAAGGGGATTTTAAACGGTTTCATCCGTCTGGAAGCAACTTTTGGCTCAGAGCCGGTTCACAGAGCGACTGTTGGATCTAAATTAAAACAGCTGAGACACAAAGTTTAGTTTTATAATGAAGAGAAGAACTGACAGAGCAGCAAAGAGCAAATAATGATCATAGAAATGAGGCTGAAATGTGCTCGTGGGCTGTGTTTTAGCTGCACTGTAGATAATAACTAGAATACGTGAAAGAAGACGAGTTCTGGTCTGAAAGCAGCAGATCAGTGATTGTAAGCTGCAGCTTGTGACTCTCCAGATGATGCGAAGGGATGAAAACGTCACTGAAAAGAGAGAATAAAGTAAATAAAGTGTGCTCGGAGCCTCAGATTGTTCAGAAATTAAACTTCTGTGACATTCGTTGGTACTTGAGCTCATCTGATGATGTTAGAAATAATTTCAGTTTATTTTATGCAGCAGCAAAAGCACGACTTAAAACATGATTACATCCAAATATATCTGTTTAGATTTCAAATTAATCACATGAGGCCTGAGTTTTGTGCTTTGTTTTACATGAATGATGCAAAAAGGATCAAATAGCTGCATGAGAATCCAGCAAAACGCAGAAAAAGAAGTTTATGATGCTCCACAATATTAAAATTAAACCTACGACCCTGATTAGTCTATAATTGTTATTATTGTTAATAATAATAATAATAATAATAATAATAATAATTAGTAGTAGTAGTATTTGTATTTTTCATGTATTATATTATATTTTTTTAATATTTTCCAAGATAATTCTAAATAACACTTTATTTTTAAAATAATATAATTGCAAAAAAAAAAGATGATTATAGGAATTTGAAAAAAAAAACAAAAACTTATTATTTAATATTTAAATAATTTGAATTATAATTCAGTAGAAAAATGAGACTGGTGCAATGAAATGTCTAAATATTGAGAGTCTTTTGCCAGGTGTTGCTCAGAAAAGCGAAATGAAAAAGTAGAAAAATATGGTGGAATGTTGAAAATCAAATATGTCAGAAATAAGGTATAAATAAAGTAAAAATAAGACTAATAGAAAAAGTAAGAAGCGATACTGAGGTAATATTACCCATGATAATTCATTGCACATTGCACTGACTTGTTGCATATGACAGTGAAAAATAAAGCACATTTAATTCAGATATTGCACACAAAATATTCCTGCACCTAAACATTGAAATAAAACATGGATTTGTTGCACATGAGAGTGACGCTAATTTTGCACAAACTGTTGAGAAATTACAAATTACTCGACTAACTTCATGTTAAGACTCTGCAGCTTGACCATTTGTGGATATTAGTCAGATAAATATACATGGAAATGAAAATATACATGAAAACCCAACAAATCGGAGCATTTCCTGGATCCTCTCTGAGCAACTTCTCTTTCTAATATTATTATTCTGTGTGTTGTGTATATATTTATGTGGGTAAAACGTAATGAAAGCAGACAGATTGGTGTCTGAGGTGACTCAGAGGCTCCGGTCTTGTCGAGCTGGAGCGTCTTTTGTTGGGTTTCAGTGTTAGAAGTCATGGCAGCAGCAGCAGCAGCAGCGGGAACGCCCAGCCTCAAAGCCTCAAAGCCTCAAAGCCTCAAACTGAACATGAATCACTGGCCCCCTGCATACCTGCTCGCTGAGCCACGCTGCCAACCACGAAGCCCGGCCGTGGCTCCTCTGACTCATCCACAGGCCTTTTATTTCCTCTTTGTGCAGCCGAGGCCGCAGGCTGTCAATGGTTGACCAGGCTCAGCAGGTTTATTATCAGGGTGTGCTTGGGCTGCAGGTGACCTTTGGACAATGAAGGCTTGAACCACAGCTCTGACCTGCTTTGTTCTCCGTTAATCAATCAAGTTGATCACATGAAATAAAGAGATTTAATTCCAAATGAGATGTTAAATGGGGCTCCAGCTGCTCACAGGCCTCTAAATTTGAGCCTTTTTCCTCATCCATGTGTTTATTTGTGCTTTGACCATATTTGGTCAGGGCGTTCCGGGCGGTGCGTCCTACGTCACCGCTGCGTCTCCTCGGCGTCGCTCTTTCCCGTCCGAGCTCTCAACATGGCGCCGGTAAGTTCGCTTGCTCCTCCTCGATTGACTCCATTTAACGTTTTTCCCTTTGTCGTTTTCACTTTTTCTGGCCACCTTTTAATAAACAGCACAGGGCAGCACTAACACAGCTTAGCGGTGCGAACACTGAGCGCTTTTATGAGGATGAAATCCGAGAAGCTCGCCCAGTTAGCATTAGCTCGTAGTAGCCTGCTCACACGTGTTCATTCATTCCTCCGACCGGACTCCATAGAGATGAAGTGTACTTTATCACGTATTAGTAGTTTTACTGCACTTGACTGCAGTTAGTTTCTGTTTATTGTCAATTTCCATATACTTTAGAGGCAATTTGTCAGTTCGGCATAACATACAGGAACTTGTCAGACGAATATCACCTAATAATTAACACATTAGTAGGAGACTATGCTAATATTAGCTAGCTTATCTGCTAGCTAATATCTTATGATGGTTTTCCTGCACGTGACTTTAGTTATTTTCTATGTATTGCAAAGTTTCATGTACTTTGGGGTCTGTTGGTCAGTTCGGCCAAACTTACAGGAACGTGTCTGTTTAATGTCCCCCAATAATTAGGTTGTAAGGTGATTATGCTCGCATCATTTAGCTAATCTATCATTATGTTGCTATTAATGTCAAATGATGGTTTTCCCCCACTTGACTGTAGTTGTTTTATGCTTATTGTCAATCTAAACGTAGTTCAGGGTTCATTAATCAATTCGGCATAACTTAAATGAGCTCCCAGTATTGACAGTTTACTCATGATTAGCAGATGATGCTAATATTAGCTAGTTTTTTCCAGGGTTTACTGTGTCGCTGCTACATAAATGCAGGACTTTCACTCAGAAAAGAGTATTTCTGCACTGGTTTTGGTACTTTAACTGAAGTACAAGATGTGAGTGCTTCCATCTGTGTGTCACTGTTGATTAAATTCACTTAAAATAAAATGACATACATGTTTTTTTTTTTAAATTGATATGAAGTCACACTTTCGCCTGTCAGCCAGTTCAAACTCAAGTGCTTGTTCAGTTTGACATGTTTACTAATGGAGAAGGTCATTTTAAATGAGTTTTCTGTCACTCAACACTCTTTCTAGGGCTCAGTAGGGATGTTCGTGCACCACTATCAGTCACTAAAGTAGCTGTAGAATAAATTAATTCCAAATTAATCTGCTTGGACACGAGGTTTGGTTTTGTAATGAGAAAATGATCAACAGACAAACTGATAGAATAACAAGTGAGTTTATAGAAGCGTTTACCACACGTTAAAATGTGGTTAGTAAGAAATAAGAAGCCGCACCACCTGTTGTTGCCTCTAAAAATACAAAATTGAGCAGTAAAAGTAAAAATAGAGACTTTAAATCTGAAGAAATTGTGTTGCTTGAATGTTACACACACACACACACACACACACACACACACACACAGGTCTTTGATCCGTTTTGCTCATTTCCATCACAGTTGAAACAGATGAAGCAGAAGAGGCCAGCTGTTGGCAAGAAGTCCAGAAAGGGAGCTGCCTGGAAGTTCACCCTGGACCTGACCCACCCAGTGGAGGACGGCATCCTGGACTCTGCCAACTTTGTAAGTCTTTCTGCACTTGTTAGGTGTTTTAGACAGGACTCCTGTTGGAGCTCTCGTCCGTTTTGTCTTTCTCATCATGAATTGTCTAATTAAAGAGTTACTGTAGAGATCTTGCCAGCAGCTGACCGTGGGTCTGGACTAGGGCCACCTTCCCTAGCTCCCAGTATACTAGGGTTCTCTTCCCTAGTGCGTCACTGTGCTGTGTCCAATAGGAAACCTTCCTCAAAGAGAGGATCAAGGTGAACGGAAAGACGGGGAATCTGGGCAACATCGTGCAGGTCGGCCGCATGAAGAACAAGATCAACGTCACGTCTGAGAAGCAGTTCTCCAAAAGGTGGGACCAGATGTTTGACTGAACTGATCTACCTTGAAAAACTGAGGAAACAGTAAAAGTACTGCATGTGCAGAAAGAGTAACAGGCTCCTGTTTGTCATGTTCCACCAGGTATCTGAAGTACCTGACAAAGAAGTACCTGAAGAAGAACAACCTGCGTGACTGGCTGAGGGTGGTGGCGTCCGACAAGGAGACGTACGAGCTGCGTTACTTCCAGATCAGTCAGGACGACGACGAGTCGGAGGCCGACGAGTAAACGGCCGCAAAACGACAATAAACGTGGAAAATGAACTTTTCTGTCTCGTGTTTTTTGTTGTTGTGGTGTTCTTGAAAAACTTGTAACAGGTGTGCTGACTCCTGCCGGGTTTCCTCTATCGTTGGTGAGCTGGTTCATGTTTTGGTCCACAAGTCGTTTATTATAACGAAGTGTCACAACATGAACGCAGTGGAAATAAAAAAACAGAACAACATCAATAGAGAGGTTATATAGACCTTCTGAGAAAACTACTGTTTCTCCAGCTGCTGTTCACTGGATATTTCATCCTGCGTCTGTTTACACTGTTCTCACTTTATTAGGTACGTCTGAGTGAATGTGGTGCTGCAGCGCTGCAGTGAGTCCTTCCTGTAAAGAACTATACAGTGTTACATGAAGGGTACATTTACTGCAGCGCTGTTGGATTAGACCGCCTTGGATCTACCTAATAAATGTGTAGCTGTTGGCTTTGTGCTGCTGTTGTAGGTCAGGATGCAGTTCACTGATCAGCCACAAGGCGGCGCTGCAAATCAGCAGACCTTATGACCTTAAGACCTTATGTTCATGAACAGAATCAGTTGAATCAAACATGCAGCTCAGCGCTGTCGGCCGACTACAGAATGATCACAAACACAAGTAAAACAGTCCAAACTGCACAAAGACCAAAAACTAAAGATTTTTTAAAGACTGAGACCAAATGCCTACGAAGGTGTGAAAATGAAGTGAAACTGCTACAAAATGATGCAGACTGACTGCAAATACACAAAACGAGTCCAAAACATCCAGAAAATGACAAAATCACTGCAGGAATGCAAAATAATAGACAGAAAGATACACAGCACAACGGAAAACGTTTATAAAGATGCAAACAGACGACATGGAGACCAAGTGGACACTCAGCAGGAATCTGTCTTCACTTTGACATCAATGAGTCTTTTTAAATGTAAATTCTTGTCAAAAAATACAAATCAACCCACAAACAGGAGTTGTCAAACAGTCTGTCGTCTCTGGGTGTCCTCTTCCTGTGAGGGACTGACGACACAAATACAAATTCATTCAGGTCAGGTTTCAGCTTCACCTTCTTCCACTCCTTCCTGCAGCGTTGAGGCTCGGCTGGCGCAGCGAGGGCAGCGTCCACCAGCTCCTGAACGCCTCGAGCCGCTGCCAAAAGAAAGCCTTTATTCCCTTAAACAGAAAAGGATGTTGGGCTGCTCGTTGTGTCAGCGCGTCTGGATTCGGTCCCGTTCGCTCATCTGTTGCGTATAAAACACGTAGCCTCAGGAATGCATCCACCTTCAGCTGCTGCTGGTGGCGTCTCCACACGAGGATTCAGACAGTCAGAGGGTTTTGTTACAGACAGAGAGTCTGCAGTCGCATTCATATATCCAACATACACACCGAAGACAGTGACAAACCGGTGATGAGGTGTAAATATAGAAGCAGGAGGAATGAAGGAAAACATGTTGCTCTGCTTCAGGAGAAAGAAATTGTTGTAAAACTTCACTTTTGTGTCTCTTGGTAGTCGGATTATTTCCCTCTGTGGTTGTAGTTTGTGTCTTTGCAGTTGGTTTTTGTCTCTTTGTGGTTGGTTTGTGTCTCTTTGTGGTTGGTTTAGTCCCTCTGTAGTCATTTTTTTGTCTCTTTGTAGGTGTTTTGTGTCTCTTTATGTTTATTTTGGTCTCTTCTTAGTAGGTTCTTGTCTCTTTGCAGTTGTTTTTTGTCTCTTGAGTCCGGTTCTTGGCTCTTTGTGGTAATTTGTGTCTTTTTGAGGTTGTTTTTGTCTCGTCATTTTGTGTCTCTCTGTAGTCATTTTGTTATTTATCGTTTAGTTGGCTGGGTTTGGATCTTTGCAGTTGTTGTGTGTCTCTTTGTAGTTATGTAGCGTGTTTTTGTAGTTACTGTTTGCTCCGTCGTTGTCAGCTTGTATCTTGTCTTAGTTTTTTTTTTTTTTGTCTCTTTGTAGTCAGTTTATGTCTCCTTGTGGTTGTTTTTTGCCTCCTTGGGGTTGTTGTATGTCTCTTTGTGGTCATTTTGTGTCTCTTTGTAGGCTCTGTTTATCTGATTGTACATCTCCCTACTTGAAGACACTAAAGTTGTGCAGTTTCTGGAGACAGTCATGGGTCCTAATATTCTGCATTATTATTTCTAACCTGCAGAGAAGCTACAGCTGTCAGATGAGAACAATATTATAGGAGACCAGCATAAAAGATCCTACAAGGGTTTCAGCAAACTAAACAATACGATTCACCGGTTGGCAGGTCATCAACAAATCCCAATAAAAGCCTGTTTGCAGCAGACTCATGATAAATAATGCACCAAAATATACGTGTACACGGATCCACCTCTACCAACTGGATCAGACCAGAACAACTGACAGCCTCATCGTCCAGCTCACGTTTGGTCCTGAAGGTGTGAAAATGGACGTCTGTCAAAGTAAGACCAGCTTGTGAAGACAGCAGCAGAGTGTCCTGTTTCTGCAGCTTTGGACCGTCGTGTAACTGTGTCTGCAGGTGACGCTGTAATCTGACTCCGTGTATCGGATCACCGCCTGATTACAGCAACAATACATCACATACATGCAGCTGCCGGCCCATACAGCAGGTCCGGCCCACAGTGGTCCCGGTTTAGGTCTTATGGTGTGCTCTGTGTCTCTTTGAAGTTGTTTCTTGTCTCTTTGTAGTTGCTTTCTGTAGTTTTGTGTCTGTGCAATAGTTTTTGTCTATTTGTAGTAGTTTTGTGTCTCCGTGTCGTCGTGAGTTTCAGTCCTGAGTTTCCAGTGACTTCTGTAACTGATTTTTATGACGGAGTGGTTTTCCTACAGAACATGGAGGTGATCCTCCTTCTCCTTCATTGTTCCATTTACTAGGTGTAAAGCTCCAGTTCCCCAGAGCATGATGCTGCCACCTCCATGCTTGATGGTAGGTTTGGTGTTCTTGGGGTTAAAGGTCTCACCATCTCTCCTCCAGACATGGTTCTGCTCAGTGTTTGTTCCATCTCACCACAGAACTTTCCTCCAGAAGGCCTTTTCTTTGTCTGATTCATTGCAGAGCTGCTTTCTGCTGGTTCCTGGTTGACTCTTGACCATCCTGACCAAGAGCAGCTGGTAGTTTGTGTTTTCTTCCTGATGGTGGCAGTAACACAACTGGACCATGAGCTTACTGTTACAAACGATGGTTTTGGGCTCTGAAGCTGCTTTGAAATGGCTCCAAGTGATTTTCTTGACTTCTTTAAGTCAATGATTTGCTTCTTCAGGTCTGTAGTGAGCGACTCAGACTTTCCCACTGAAGAGTTTGTGGCTAATGAGTCCATTTTAAATTGTCTCAGAGGAGTCACCTGCTGTAGTCCATCACAGTCACTCATGAGAAGTTAAGAGGCCATGCCACTAAGAAGGTTTGTTTCCCACAGCTTTCTACATCACCAACACTGACAATTCAAGTTGCTGTATGTATACTGATGACGCAGCAGATTGTCATATTTCTAGAAGACCTATTTACCAAATGAAGAGTCAAAATTCATTCTTGCTTTTATGTGACAAAGACGCGTGAGTTTTAAAGATTTAATCATAGAAAATCAGGAGTTCTAGGAGTCACTGAAGACTGCTGTTAAATAAATGGTCTTTACAAGTGAATGTTGACTTCTGTTTAATTTAACCAAATGAATCAGGTGGACATTTCAGCTCATGTCTAAGTGGGATACATCTTCTCCTGCAGGTTTTCAAAGTGAGATAAGTTTCTTCAGACACCTGGTCGGTTCTCAGACCTGCACACAAACACAAGCTGCCCCGTGGTCGCTGCTGTGAATGACTGACGGCAGCTACATGCACAAGCCCTGCTCGGCCTCGGGTGTTGAATATTCTATCAGCCCGGTCACATGGCATCAGGTCTGAATGATTTAACGCCGCCGGCTCCTCTCGTCACTATTTCCTGCAGCTCTGCAGAGGACGGAGACTCGACCAAATGCCACACAGCCTGCCTCAGGAGGGGAAACACACAACCAGTGAGTGTATTACCTGCGTGCTCAGGTGTGCTTCTTTGCTTTGGGGTGTTTATATCAGTGTTTATGCACCACCAACTGTCTGCCTTCTTCACTCTCTACAGTCCAACCTGTTGGTGTTGGTTCGAGGTTAGTTTCAGTTCAGGTGTTGGTTGAACTCGAGTCACTGAGTCCAAAGCAGCAGTTTGGAAGTTTTTCTGTTCGTGGTTCAGTTTTAGCCTCCGCAGTCGGACCTTTTCCGTTTTGAAAGCAGATCCTTGGTCTTCATTAAATTTTCAAAGAGGGAGTCTCGCTCTAGTGAGTGAGCAGAATAGCTGATGGTATCCCATCTTCACCTGCTGCCTCACATCATAGGCATAGAAGGATTACTGAGCGGGTCTACAGGGCCCAGACTGAGGACTAGAGTTTCTTAGAAGTTTGACATATTTAGTTGACCATAATGAGATGCAAAGTCACTGCAAAGAGACGTGTAATGTTGTCAAAGAGATGCAAAAACTGCCCCAAAGATTTTTAAAATGACCACCAAAAAAAAAACGACTTGAGACTACAAAGAGACCAAAAACAGGGTCAAAGCGATCAAAAAGAAACTTAAGACAAACACAACGATACTCAAAACTGCCAGAGACTCGGACTCCTAATGACGAAAAACCAGTACAAAGAAATGCAAGACCACTACAAATGGACATGCAATTACTTCAAATAACCCAAATGGAAACAAAAAGACTGAAAATGTCCTTAAAAGAGATTAAAATTTTAAAAACACATGAAATGACCCAAAGCAGCCACATCCAAACCCAAAGTCTGCAAAGAGCTGCTCTCAAAACGACCACAAAGACTCAAATTTCAAAAAATATGCTCAAAACAACCACAGGAAGATTTAACATGACCACAAAGAGACTCAAAAGGGCCACAAAGATGCCCAAAGCAACACTGATTTATAATAACACTGTTCTTTTGTGTTCACAGAGTCTCTGGCCTCCGTTTGGACTCTGACCAGGTGTGAGGAGGTTCTGGATGACGGTGAAACAATGATAGAAGCAGCGACAGCGGACAGGTAGAGGGAGTGACTAACACACTACCATCAGCAGGTGATACCCAGGTGTCGTCATGGCGGCGTGGCTCGGCCGGGTGTCTCTGGGCGACGCCTGGTACAACATGTACTCCCGGCTGCTGAGGACCAAACCGATGGGCTCCATGGCTCACAGCTCCGACGACCTCACCGAGCTGGCCGAGGGGTCGGCGGTCGGGCTGGCCAGGGTCCTGACCACCGTGGACCTGGTGTCGCTCGGGGTGGGCAGCTGCGTCGGCACGGGGATGTACGTGGTCGCCGGGCTGGTTGCCAAGGCGATGGCCGGGCCAGGGGTCATCCTGTCCTTCATCATTGCAGCGGTGGCGTCGATACTGTCAGGTTAGAATAGAAAGTTAGAAGTATGTTTACTCAAGGAGAAGTTTTTTGGCTTTGGTTACTTCATTCTGACTTCCTGTCCAGTGTTGTTGCTGTAGCACCTTGAGTCCAAACGCTCATTGCAAGGTTTTTCTCTGAAGTGATCAAGTTTATTGATACCACTTTTCAAAAAGCATAATTTATAAAGGAAGTGTGAGCTCTAACTTCAATACTTAATAAGAAAATTTTAGTGTGGCAACGTGGCTACTACTGTTACGCTGTTAGCTCCTCTCCTGGTATTTCCTATTAGCTTTTGTTAAATACAGCTGGCCCCTGTTAGATCCAGATAACTCCTGTTAGCTGCCTGCTAACTTACAGTAGCTTCAAATAGCTCCAGTTGCATCCTATTAGCTACTGGCATTTCCTGTTAGCTTTTGTTAGCGACAGACAATAGCCCCTGTTAGCTCCAGATAGCCCTTGTTAACTCCTAATGGTGCCTGCTAAGTCACAGTAGCTCCAGATAGCTCCTGTTTGATCCAGTTAGCTCCAGATAGCTTCTGTTTACTCCTAATGACACCTGTTCCCTCATGTTAACTACAGATATCTCCAGTTAGATTTTGCTAACTCCACAAGGGACCTGTTAGCTTCCAATAATTCCTGTTTGCTAAAAAGCATCTGTTAGCCTATGTTAGCTAAAGACAGCCACAGTTAGAGCCTGTTACTTCCTGGTTGCTCATGATTTTTCCTATTAGTCCTCTTTTTAGCTCCTGATGGAACCTGTTAGCTCATGTTAGCTACAGATATGCTATTTCCCATTAGCTCCTGTTAGCTACAGAGATCTGTTGCGTTCAGATAGCTCCTGGTGCTGTATGTTAGCTCACGTTAGCTACAGAGAGCTCCAGTCAGATCATGTTTGCTCTAATTAGCTCCTGATGTTCCCCATTTGCTCCTGTTAGCTACAGAGGTCTTATAGATGTTCGTATATAACGAAGTGTTATACAGCAGTCCACCAAGTCTCTGCATACCGCTATATTATACTGTCAGTGTTTCTTTACTTTTACTCAAGTTAAATCTAGAATGCATTTAATGCATTGTGCTCTCAACCTGTGGCTTCCCTGCAGGTGTGTGCTATGCAGAGTTCGGTGTCCGGGTCCCTAAAACCACCGGCTCGGCCTACACTTACAGCTACGTGACGGTCGGGGAGTTTGTGGCGTTTTTCATCGGCTGGAACCTGATCCTGGAGTACCTGATTGGCACGGCGGCGGGGGCGTCGGCTCTCAGCAGCATGTTCGACTCTCTGGCCAATCACAGCATCAGTAACTACATGATAACACACCTGGGCACGCTCAGAGGACTCGGTCAGTAAGGACACAGTGTTTGGTTCCTACACATCATACCGTCTTGTCTTTTTTCCTTTTGTATTTTTGTTGAAGTGTTGCTGTGACGCTCTTTGACCCAGGTAAGGGTGAGGACACGTATCCTGACCTGCTGGCCCTCTTCATCGCCCTGCTGGTCACAGCAATCATTGCCCTCGGTGTGCGTAAGTCGGTCGGCTTCAACAACGTCCTGAACGCAGTGAACCTCGTGGTCTGGGTCTTCATGATCATCGCCGGACTCTTCTTCCTCTCTGCCAGCAACTGGCAGGGTGGCAACTTCCTGCCATACGGCTGGTCAGGGGTGAGATGCTCTAAGGTTCTGGTTAAAATAATCTGAGGTGTAGTGAGACCATTCTGCAGCAGAGAATGACTGCCCTTCAGTATCATTCTGCTACATGGGGGAAACTGTCTGTCTTGTTTATGTGTGTTTAAACCAGTCACACTAGTTTTGGGCAGGATGTAGTGATGGTGTCCCTGTAAAATAGCGACAGGGAAATTGTTTTGGTGGAACATTCGCACGCAGGAAGGTGAATAGTGGTATGAAAATTTACAATTTGTGGGAAAAAAAAACACCCGTGCTACCTTACTAAACAGTTCAAACTGAGATTTTTAGGATGTAGCTTGCTAGCCTGGAGGCTGTTGACGTGATGTGAAGGAGGTTCTGAAAATAGAAACACAGGCGGTAGATAGTGGAGGGGAAGGAGAAAGTCATGTGATATGCACCACTAATGGCCAATTTATACCCATAGTCTACATGCAGTGAGTCAGGCTAGCTTAAAAAACGCTGACCTCCAAACTGATATGAACCACAACAGCAGCAACAGTTCCTCGTGTCCAGAAGTAAAGGAAGTTATATGGTCAAATATACACTGTAAAGTCTGCATTCACTTCTCAGGTGATGCAAGGTGCGGCGACCTGTTTCTACGCCTTTATCGGCTTCGACATCATCGCAACGACGGGAGAGGAGGCAAAAAACCCCAACACCTCCATCCCCTACGCCATCACCGCCTCGCTGGTCACCTGCCTCACCGCCTACGTGTCGGTCAGTTCAGCGCTGTACATGTTAAGGCTTTTACGGGAAGGAAACAAGAATGATTTTGTTTACCATACGGTTTTGTCAACTGAAATGTGCTGATCTATTTTCACCCATCAATGTGTTGGCAGTGCTCATTTTGCATTCTCTACCTTCAAGAAACAAGAAGTTGCACAAACGGCATATGTCAGGGCTAATGTGCAAGCCTCCTGCTTGCTTGCAAAAATCCAGATTTTTACATCAATCATTTTAAATATTTGACTTAAAGTAAACAGAAATCTCCATCTGAGGATATTTAACTAAGGACAGTTCACTGCCACCCACAGAGATGGGAATCAAATGTTTTCTTCTCGATAATGGGTAGTTTTAGCCTCACACCTTTCCACATCTTTCCTCTCCACAGGTGAGTGTGATCCTGACCCTCATGGTTCCTTACAACCTGATCGACGGCTCGGCTCCTCTGATGGAGATGTTTGCCGTGCATGGCTTCATGTTGGGGAAGTACATCGTGGCTGTTGGCTCCATAGCCGGACTCACCGTCTCGTTGCTGGGCTCCCTGTTCCCGATGCCCAGAGTCATCTACGCCATGTCCAGGGACGGACTGCTGTTCAGGTGAGGATACACACAAATTGAAATTACAGAGATTGTGCCTGTGAAAAAAAAAAGTACTTAAATTTGACCACCATCCCCGTGGAAGCAGTCTCCTTGTGCAGCGATGCACTGCTCCCAGTGCTCCTGCAACCTTTGTAACAGGAAGTCCCATTATGGAAACATGTCGCGTGCTCTCTGCGACGCCTGTTGAGTCTCCTAAGCTGTGTCAAAATGGCAGTCCTTCAACTCTAAGTCTGTTTTGGGAAAAAAGAGAAAGTCACAATGAGTAAACGTGAGTAGGCCAGGTTTTTCTGGACCGTGATGTAGGGAGTTATAGTGTACAGTTATGCACCAGAATGGACGCCTCTTGTTTTCCTTGATGAGCTCTATCATTTGGGAGCACGTATAGTAAGTTGTGTATTTCACATTATTTATACCAGTTTCCACATATTAGGAGGCATTACTATTGGTTTATTTCGGGTTGTTTTGATTTCAGCAACGACCACTACACCATGTGCTCTTTGTGTAGGACAAACATGCTAACAGACATAAAATGTGAAGTTGGCTTGATTCCGTGAAAAGGCGAATGAAAGACCCTGCAGCGGTCACAAAGACGTGTGACAGAGGTCCTTATGTTGGTCGTACGATATCACGCGATGTCCTGACTTGTGGCAGTACTCGTCCACGTTGCGGATGTGTGACCGTGGACGCCACCAACAGTACTGAAACTTCCTGATCACCCTTTGTGTGCACAGTCAGGATATGGAAGCATGAGTTTTAAAGACGTTTGTTTGTGTCTGTATTTGCAGGTTCCTGTCACACGTGTCTACGCTGACACACACTCCGGCGGTGGCCTGCGTGGTGTCGGGGACCCTGGCGGCCATCCTCGCCCTGCTGGTGAGCCTCAGGGACCTGATCGAGATGATGTCCATCGGCACCCTGCTGGCGTACACTCTGGTCAGCGTCTGTGTGCTCCTGCTGCGCTACCAGCCCGACGAACACATCGACACGCACCAGTATAACTCGGAGGTGGACGTGGATGGCCTGAAGGAGCAGGACGGCGAAAGCGTCCCCACCAAAGACGACCAGATCCTGATCGGAGGCTCTGACAATGACGGGTCGTCGTCTTACCACGCCGGCGGCGCTGACGGGGAGGGAGATGACTCAGAGTTCCACACCGGCCATGCCTCGCTGCTGAAGAGGCTTCTGGGAGGTCATTACTACACTCTCAGGCTGCGGCTGGGAATGCCCGACGCCTCAGCACGGCCCACCCCCGCCAGCGGCCGAATAGTGACCAGAAGCACCCTCCTCTTCTTCTTCACGTCCTTCTTCCTCTGGTCCACCGTCATATTTGGCGTGGAGCAGGGCTCAGGGGCTGGAGCGGTGTTTTCAGGCCTGATGGCGACGCTGATGGCGGCCTCCCTGGTGAAGCTTCTGGTTCTGATCATACAGCAGCCAGAGAGTCCCAGGAGGCTGCCATACATGGCGCCATGCGTGCCCTTTGTCCCCGCGGCGGCCATATTGGTCAACAGCTACCTCATGCTTAAACTGTCTCCACTCACCTGGGCCAGGTTCACCATCTGGTGCCTCATAGGTGAGTTCTGGATGATAGATCTGAAATGCAGCATCAACAGGTAACAATGCAGGACAGCAGTGTTGAGCTGAAAAGGGATTTAAGATGAGGAAGAATCATTCCCTCTCAAATCATCAGAATATTAGAACAATTTCTGTTCAACCATCTCTGGTTTGTCTGATGTTTTAATGGCATAAAATATGAATATCTACAAAAATATCTGTGAATTATTAGCTTGATATATCAAATATGTTCCAAGAAAAACATTTTTTTAAACTTCCTGTCAACCCACTTTTAGCAGTTTGTTTGTTTTTTTCGCACATGAAAACTGTTTGAAGCACCGTGTCTCAGGAACGATTAAAGCCGAAACTTCACGGTTATTTCTTATCTTGACATTGATTGAATTAGAACGCGCAATATTGGATCAAATAGTCTCTGATTATGGCTGAGGTGAAATATGAAGGTTTAAATACCACAAGTGTCACAAAAAGCACAATTTTGATTAATATTCTTCACCAATAATCAGTAGTATTATCTATTACTAACGGATCAATTAGTAACACTAATTGATCATTGTCATATAGAAACCCGAAGCTCTCGGACTGAAACATTGCACTCATAACTTTACAAGTTAGACAGTGTTCGGGAATCTGTTTTGTACCTGTTGGATGTGCTTCTCCGACGCACCTGCCTCATGTTATAGATGTGCAACGAGTTCCCTTAAGTATGAAGCTCTGACACAAATTTGTGATTAACTTGGGGCAGTTGTAGCCGAGGTTTGTACTGTGTGAGAACTTGGTGCTCAGCACAGAGAACGTGTTGCACAGATGAAGTTTGTATCCCGGCTTTGTTCGAGCTCCAGCTGGTTGGCACACGTTTCGCTTCATGTGGGTTTCATTGAGGTTGATAAACCCCCCAGACATCTCCACCTGCCGCCCTGCGCTAACACTTTGTCCGTCCTCAGGTCTGCTGATCTACGGTTGCTACGGAGTGTGGCACAGCACGCTGGAGCTCAATGCCCGCGAGCAGCAGGCCCACGCCAGCTCCTACCAGCGCTACGACGACCACCTGGACGACACCTTCTCCCCGGACGACGACCTGTACCCCCAGGAGCAGGACGAGAGACCCTACCAGGGCTGGTCCGCCCCGGAGGAGAGGGGCCACCACTACCAGCAGCAACACCAGCAGCAGAACCAGTACGAGGACCAAGAGGCAGGGCAGCAGCAGGAGGATAATGGTGACCAGCACGGATACCAGTCTGGAGGCCAGCATGAGAGCAGGGGCAGCAGGTCCAGAGGAAGGACCAATTACGGGTTTGACGACGAAGAGGAGGACTGAATACGGGAAAATCTTATTTATTGAAGTCATATTTAGCAAGATCCTACGTTACTATTTTCCAGTGAACGCGTCTCTCGGTCTGCTCAGCGTGGAGTTTTTAATCGCAGAAGGACATGACGGGAACTTCCCCCCACATGTGATTCACTGAATGAGGCCGACAGCAGCTGCAGAAGCTTCAGTGAACTTTAACACACAGCACAACAACCAAAATACTCTCCAGCTGCGTATCTGTGTGAGCATCGGCAGTGTTGCAACACAATCTGGTGCATTGCATCAAGAGTTACCTACAACAGCGTGATCCAGCAACACGAGATGAACACATCTACCAGCCTGTAGGTGGTTTTCTGATTTGCTGTCGGCTTCTAATGAAGTGATGAGAGACGTCCTGACCCACGTTGGAGATATCTGAGTCCCTGGAGCCAACCAGCTATGAGGCTAACACGCTCACATCGCATGCTAACGTGGTCCAAATGGGATTTGTCCATCTCAGATCTGGCTTTCTTCTTCTCTTCTTGGTCTATAGCATCTCACTTAAAACCAGCAGTGATCAAAGAGTTCTTTAAAAGTCAAAAATCGTTCTTGATTTTCAGCTTTGGAAATAATCAATAGACCGCCTGTTGTTCTCTTTACAGAGTCTACAAGACAGTCAACAGGGACCATTTTGAATTTTATCATAAGAAACTTGGGGGGAAAAACATATAAAGATTAAATACATGCAATAAATTAGGTTTTAACATCAGATATCAGTATTCACACGAGGTGGCCGGAAGCATTTTTGAAGTAATTTTTTAAGTCCGTAGATAGTCCAAACTAGATTATCACTCACCAAAGCCTAAAAGCAGAAAGTTATGACAAGAAAGCAGCCGTCTTGGTGGGATACAGCGAGGGAGGTGTTGCTCACTGGCTTGAAATCAGTGAGAGCTGCAAATAAAAGAAGCAGAGTAACGGACTGATTATTTCCAAAGCTGTGAATGTGGCCGCCGTATGTATTGAAGGAGTCTCCGTGTGCAGTCCCACACTGCTCCTAGTGCTCCTGCAACAACTGGAAGCCCTGGTTTGGGCCACATCTGTGATGAGCTGAATCTCCTAAACTGTGTCCTTAAGCTTGGATTTTATCTTGCAGAAGAAGAAGAAGTCACAGGAAGTCAAATTTAGCACATAGGACGAGCAGAAAGCTACGTGTTTGTTGTTGTAGCCTAGACACTCAGGTTTTAATGTGCTGTGAGCTAGCATTGATGTTGGTCGTATAACCCTACATGGTACAAACACCTGAATGTTAAAGAACTGCTGACACAGCGCACCTTTTGGAGATTTTCTGTTTCTTCTCTCGGTGGTAGCAGCAGACCCAACCCTCATCACCATCAATCATCCATCCATCCATTATCTATACACCGCTTAATCCTCACTAGGGGGGCTGGAGTCTATGCCAGCTGACTCAGGGTGAAGGCAGGTTCACCTGGACAGGTAACCAGTCTATCACAGGGCTGCACTTAGAGACAGACAACCAAGCACACTCACATTCACACCTACGGACAATTTACAATCACCAATTAACCTCAGCATGTTTCTGGACTGTGGGAGGAAGCCGGAGAACCCGGAGAGAACCACACTGCACGGGGAGAACATTCTAGCTGCGAGGTGACGGTGCTAACCACCGAGCCACCTGCAGCCATTAATCATCCCCCACATGAAAACAAATTCTGATATTTGCGCTCTATTTCCTCGGTGAACAGAACGGAGCGTTGCAGGAGCACTCGGAGCTGTGCACGGCTGCACCAGGACACGACTTCTTTAGAGATGATCGGCTTGTTTGTTGTCATTCCGTACAGCCCGATGAGAGCAGCAGCGGTGGTGATTAACCTCAGACTTCTGTCATCTGGTGAACTCCAGCGCTGAAGACGCACCCCTGGCAGATTGTTTTCATTACTTCTGAACTGTTTTCACTCATTTTATCGTTACGTGACCAAAGCAGAGCTTGACCTCTGAGGATTGTAGAACTAATCAGAGTAACCTGTCTCCACTGACCACAGGTCTCTTCCTGTGGATGTTCGCCCTTCTTGGACGAGACCGGTTTTGTTTTTGCGTTAGGTTTTGTTTGTGCACTTTGTGTCTTTCTTGTTTGGGTGAATGGTTTCATTTAGCGTTTGCAGAGGCAAAGTGTGTAAGTGAGAAGTTTGCTTGGGAATAAATGTCTCATGTTGAGCAACAAAAACCAGCATCCTCCTGGGACTGTTTATGGGTAAAAACGTTTATTGTTCGTAGCGCTGGACACAAATCGTACAATGCAGGCGGATATATAGTGATTATACTGTTAATATGAGGAGTCAACAATAGTATGAAACCTGTTTGGTCTCTGCTTAACAAACAAACAAACAAACAACGCTGCTATTAAAAGAATAAACAGAAGCTTATTGGTGCTGACAGTAATAAATGGTGTAAAGCCTGGTTCAGCCCTCCTGACAGGACGTGGTTCACTTGAGTCTTGTACACTTGAGGTCAGTAAACCAGGCAGAAAGCCAACAACAACAACAAAAAGACAGAAAACCTCACACTTTGCAAACTTTCCTTCCTGTCAGAGCAAAGTGTAAAATAGCGTATATACAGGAAGTGAAGTTGGAGTTCGAGGCACTTGTGTGACGTCTGGTGGGATGGTACCGCAACGAAGCACTGAAGTACTAAATTAAGTTGTTTTTCACCCGATCTGTTGATTTTAAAGCACGGTTCTTCATTACAAGTGGCTCTGAAAGTTGCACAGGCTGAACGTAAAGACGGACGTGGGTCCGGAGGCCCAGTCCGTCACACTCTGGCGCTCTTGGCGTGGTTGGCCGGCGGGTCCAGCGGCGTGGCGGTGCCCCTCTGCCTGGAGTAGTAGAAGCTGTTTTCCCGACTCGGGGTCCCGGGATCGAGGCCCTGGCAGCACAGGATCACCGAGCCGCCCAGGAGGCAGAGAGCCGAGCCGACCCAGCCGGCGTACAGCGAGAAGCCGAAGGACATGAGACCCTCGGCCTGGTGGGCGCCGACGGGGAACCAGACGGTGGAAATGATGCCGCACACGGCTGAGAGTTTGGAAGACAAGAACGAGGATTAGTTTAGTGCAGGTCATCCTCAGTGTGTCTGGGTGTGCACGTGGTGTTTGTAGCCGTCTGTGGACAGGAAGGACCTGTCTCATCCCACAGGAAGCAGGATGGAGCTGCCAGACCCTGACCTCCCAACATCCCTCCGGCAGCAGCTGGGAAAGACCTGACAACTGTAAACCCTGAAACTACTGTCCCCTAAACTCACAACTGTCCCCTAAACCTACAACTGTAAACACCAAACTACTCTAAAACCAAAACTACTGTCCTCTAGAATCAAAACTGTCCTCTCAAACTGAAACTGTCTCCACAAAACAAAACTGTCCTCTAAGATCCCAAACTGTCCTTTAAACCTAAAACTGTCCTTTAAACCTAAAACTGTCCTTTAAACCCCAAACTGCCCTTTAAACCTAAAACTGTCCTATAAAAGGCAAAACTTCCTCTAAAACTAAACTACTGTCTGCTTCAGAAACTACAAATGTCCCCAAATGTCTTTAAAACCAAAACCTCTGTCTTCTAGAACAACCTCTGTCCTCTAAACTGCATGAGTCCTCTAAATCTGTCCTCTAAAACCAAATCCTTCCTCTGAAACCCCAAACTGTCCTTTAAAACTACAACTGTTCTCTATAACTTTCCTCTAAACCCCGAAATTGTTCTATATACCCAAACTAAAGTCCTCTAGAACCCCAATCTGTCCTTTCAACTCCAAAGCTGTCCTCTAAAAATCCAAACTGTCCCGTTAAATCCAACAAACTGTCCTTTAAAACTTCAACTATTCTCGGAAACTGTCCTCTGTAAACCAAAACTGTAAACACCAAACCACCCTAAAGCCAAAATACCATCCTTTAAATTCAGCTGCCCATTAAAACCAAAACCAATGTCCTCCAAAAAACAAAACTGTCCTCTAGAACCAAAACCAATCTGTCTTTTGAAACCAAACTACTGTCCTGTAAAACCCCAAACTGTCCTATAAAACCAAGAGTTTCCTCTAAAACCAAACTGCTCTCCTCTAAATCTACAAACGTCTCCTAAATGTCTCCAAAACCACAACTGTCCTCTAAAACGTAAAACTTCCTCTAAAACCAAACTACTGTCCTCCTAAACTACAAACGTCCCCAAAATGTCTCTAAAAACAAACTTCCTCTAAACACAAACTAAAGTCCTCTAAAAACCAAAAACTATCCTCTAAATCCGTCCTCTGAAACCAACCTGCTCTCCTCTAAACCTGATCGTCTCCAAAACCAAAACTGTGACCAACTGTGTGATTTGAACCAGAATCCTGTGGCTTCTGTCGCTTTGAGCTGCTGCTGTGTTGGTATTCTACCTTTTAACCCAACATAGGAGCTACTACAAGTAATCTGATTACTGTGAGGTGATGCTCGTGCCCCTCACCCATGATGAGGAACAGGACTCCTCCCACTCGGGCGCGGCGCTGCTTCACCGCCGCCGTGTCGTTCTGCAGCCGGACGCACGGCATCGACATGAGCACCAGCAGCATGGCAGGGAGGCCCAGCAGGCATGCGCAGATCATCAGGGCGCGGGACGTTTGCACGTAGGCTGAGGCACACACACACACACACACACACACACACACGCTCAGCTGAAACATCTGTTGAGCTTCTCAACACATCTGGCACAGACACGGTTCCAGGCAGGAATGCGTAAAGACGTGCGCTCAAGAATTCTGTTATCAGAAAATACTCCGTGAAAAGGCTGTTAAATGTCTTATTTATTTAAAAACACACACCTGTGGGGATTCGTGGGATAAAGAGCCAGAAGAAGCTGAGTTGCAACATCAATTTCTGGCTTTTTTGTTGTTTTTTGGGATACAAAATAAGAAATTAAAAGTTTTCCGCATCAGCTCAATTGAATATTGAACATGTCTGTGCTCAGAATGTTTAACCGAAATGAGCAGTGAAACCAAAACACTGTAAAGTTTAGAAACAATCTGTAGGAACTCTTGGAAAGCTGGCAGCTCGGTGCCAGAAAGAATGAGAGAAAATCTGTTGATCCTGTAACACTGAAGAGCTGCTAAAACGGAGAAAACACAGCGAATATCTGCAGAATGAAACCATTTAATGCTGATTTAAATACAGCAAAACTGTCACTCATCATGAAAGAGTGAGTTAGTAGTAAAAAAAAAAAAAAAAAAAGATTTGCAGTTATTTTCTTTACTGTCAACATGTGAGTTCTAATCATTTATAATCACTTCATAGTGATTTAGAGCAAAGGAGTCATTTTATAGTCCAATTAGTTTTTGTAGTCATTCAGCCTTTTGATGGTTTTTATGGTTAACCAGAATTCATTTCTAAATATTTTCTGTTATTTAACAAAAGACGGAATTTTTTTTTAATTTAACAGTTTAAAAAAATTACTATTTTCAAATCCTTAATTTGCATTTTTTTCAGTAACAGCAAATTTCTGTACATGATTTATTTCTTTATTTATTTACCTAAAAAATCTGTTTTTTTAGTCAACATTATAGTTTTGGACTGTTTTTTATGTTTGTTTGTTTGATTGTTTACATTCAATATTTAAATTCATACTTAGTTTCTGTAATTTAACAAACCAGGGAAAAAAAACAATAAAAAGCGAACAGCAAATAGTTTTTTGGTTTTTCTTAAATACAGTTTATATATATATATAATATATATATATATATATATATATATATATACAGAGCAGCAGGACTTTGACAGTTTGAGCCTTTTTTTTTTTAAGTTTACTGTCAACATGTGAAGAACTTTTTTTCTCCTGTGATTTTTTAATACATTTCTTATTCTTAATATTTTCCTCTTTTCTTATTATTTAGTTGATTATTTTCTTTTTATCTGTGATTGAACAAAACTTTGAAAATCAGTAAAAAAAAAATAACAGGAAATTGTTCAAAAATAATTCTTAATTTTTTTTTTAGCTGGTAAACAACTTTATTTTTGTTATTGTGCTTAAAAAACAAAAGAAAAGTTCCGTTTGCAGTCCGACACCTCTTCCTCTGTCTCTCACCTTTGATACAAACTCACTGAAAACCGCAAATCAAATCAAATCAAATCAAACAATAATAAGTGTCTCTGTTTCAGTAAGAATTGACATAATATTAAATAACTGCACTCAGGACGTGGACTTGTGTCCTCACCGGGCAGCGTGAGGATCTGGTTCAGCGCCACGCAGTGATACAGCGCCGGGGAGATGACGCACTCCGCCCACAGGCCCCTGGAGCCCAGCTCGTCCATGCGGACGCAGGTCGCCACCGTGTAGTCGCAGGTCCGGACCCAGTCGTTGGTGGCCGTGGCCACGATGACCCCCACCCAGCCCACGCAGCTGGCCGCGCTGCCCGTGAGCTGCCTGCACATGTGCGCCATGGCGAGCCGCCGTGCGTTTTTACGCGCTCCAAAAACAGGAATCCACTCCGCGTTTCGACTCAGGAGAGGCGTCAGATTCGTTCTTTTCTGTCTGTAGGAGTCAGAAAGTCTTTCAGAAGGTATAATAAAAGCAGAGCAGACGTTTAAAATGGTTCAAATCAAAGAAATGAGCAAATATCCGCGCGTTCTTCTCTGCGTAATGAATACAAAAAAAAAGATAATATAAAGAAAAGTAGATGTAGAAATGACTAGAGAGGCGTGTCTCCCACTGTTAGAGGTGATAAAAATATTAAAAAGCTGAATTCAGCAGCTCTGCTCCGTCTTTGCGCTCTGCGCTGATCCGCACAGAAATGCCTGAATAAGATTTATCTCTGGGTGTGGTGAGGCTCGTATCGAAGCCAATCGGAGTTCATGTGAGACGTTAACCTAAACCAGACCTGCAGAGATGAGACAGACAGAAAAACAACAACCTAAATCCACCAGAGCGGAGCAGCAGCAGCAGGTCGAGCTGCAGCTTTGGCAGCAGGACGCTCAGAGTCCATCTGCATCTCAAAACGCAGCAGGAAGGAAACTCTGGGAGAGAATTTAAATCAGCTCCTGGTTTATAAAACACAGATTTCTGCTCCAGCATCCCTCACCTGCACCTCTGTGGCCCTCTGCTGGCTTCACCTGCGGCCTCATGGCGCTGGAGGAAAGAAATCTGAAAATCTGGCAACAAGAAAAACCTAAAACACATCCTCAGATACCTGGAGCCAACTAGCGCTGATTAGGATACAGTAGAAACAGTAACTACACTATTTGTAAAAATACTTTTTCTCTGTCAAGATATTATTTGAAATTAAACAAAACTGGGAAGACGTGGTAAAAATGAGGAAAATAACAGTTAAAAAAGAAAAGATTTCCTTTTAGTCCTTAATATAAACAAATATTCTTTTAAATGACAGAAAATAGCTAAAACATTTTCTTCCTTTTGCTGATGTACCTTCAACAACAGTGTTAGTTTATGGTTTAAATGTCTAAAGATATATATATATATATATATATATATATAT